GAGGCTGAGACCCCTCCACTATATTCTTAAATAACGGAAACTTATGGGGTCCAGATAGAAACCCACTACAAAAATACCAGGGCCGTACTTGCAGAAGGGGGGCTTAGGGGATTAGACCTCCTTAACCAATATTTAAAAAAAAAAAGTATTATTCACTATGGAGGTCTAGATAAAACCCAACTACAACAATACCAGAAGCGTACTTTCTGGAGGGTCTAGCTCTACCTCCCATGCGTTTAAATAAGTATTAACTCAAAAAAACATGCGTTCCAACCCAGATAGAACCCCACTACAAAAATATCAAAGCCGTACTTTTTCAATAGGGGTTTAGGGGGGTTAAGCCCCCCCTCCAATTTTTTTAGATAAATATTTTTTAAATACGTATTTATTTAATTACTATACTCTATTGGTTTCAGGTTCTTGTATTTTCTTTTCAAATTGTTATTTTAATAAAATAATTATTAAATAAATTAAGTTTTGGGTAGTTATTTCTTTTTAAGAAGCAGAAAATATATAGCCTCATTTCTTTTTCAAAAATGTAGGGGAGGGGTCTTAGTCCCTAAATCCCCACCCCAGAACGGACCTAATATCAATTTTCAATCGACCTTTATTTCATAGTTACCGAATTTTTCTACCTTGTCAAAGTTATCGAATTTTCCGTTAGCGAAAGTTCCATTACCGAATTTTCCGTTACCCAATAACACACGTCAAGTCGGTAGTCCAGCTCCTGCAAAACACGCTGTAGCATGTCTTGCGTAACATTCTCCAGTGCCTTTCAATTGTTTGTACCATGTACAAATCTGTTTTACAGTTTATGCATTTTCTTGAATTTTCTACCCTTGTTTGACTATGTTCGAGCAGTTTCTAATACACAAAACGACTTTTCATCATTCTTCACTCTGAAAAAAAAAAAAAATAAACATTCACCTTTTACACATCTTTTTAAAATTTGAAATCATTTGAGCGGGATTTGGTTAAAAAAAATTGACTACAAAATGATGTCTGTTTTGGCGGGGAACACCCTTTATTTTCACTTGGCACTCTTTTAGTTCAACAATTTATTTGCATATAGAATCTTGTAAAAATCTAGCAGACTCGGCCGAAGACAATCATTTAACAGTTACCCAGGAGACCTAGATAAAGAGTTCATTTTTGGGAATTTCCCGTTTTTGCCGGGAGAAAGGTCTGCGATGTGACTGAGTTAAAAAGTCACACAAATATGAAAACATTATTTTTTTTTTACAAATGTTTCTGATACATTAAGTAGGCCTTAATCATTTGCTCGAACTGATCTATCTTCTTTAATCTTATTTTTTGGGTTCTGTGTGTATTGCGATGTTGCCTCGGTTCAAAATTGCTGATAATTAGGAAAGACGTAGAGAGAGTATCGAAGGAACAGAAGACTAGGTAGGGAAAACAAAGCAAAAAGATACATACAGAGAACGAGAAAAACCTGAGTAAAACAACAACTGATATTTATTGCTGTTAAATTCAGAAAATGCGGCACAAATCCAAAAGGAGGAATGGGGAAGGCTGGCCTTCAACTATCCTATATTTAACTTAGTAAGCCTCAATTGCTGACCTAAACACTATAATTTTCCTTACACAAAAACCATTTTTACTTCAGTCACCTTAATACCATGATTTGTCTATGACATTGTAACTGTTCTCCAGATGTACAATTTGTCTGTGGAGGACAGTTTTTAAAAATCTACCCTCAATATCTATTTAAAATGATAAAAAATCCTACTTGTAAAACTAAACAAAATATAGATTAGCAATGAACCAATAAACGCTCCCCAATCCTAAATTGTGGCAGCAACATCAGTTAACCAGACAAAATAAAAGCAGGACTACAAAAAAAAAAAAAAAAAAGAAAAAGAAAGAAACGAGCGCCAACTAACTAAACACTCACACAACCACGCACTCAGCCAGACACGACAACAAATACGAAATACGTACCCAAAAAACGAAGTTGATCGATCTAGCTCTAACATCTCAAATGGAAAAAAAACTGGCTGGTTACATTCGATGTCTCGAAAAACTCGTTAGATTTCATCATCTCCGATTGGACACTGAACTACCATCAGTCACGATGAATGGATGTACCCTAAGCGAGATCCCATGCCTTTAGCGACTATTAGGCCTCGAATTCAACCCAGATCTCAAGTGGAACTCGTACATACGATGCAACGCTAAATGGTCGATTCCCTGTACCGCTCTAGTAAGTGCCTGGCTCCTCGTGCCATCCTCTACCTTTACAAGAGCCAGATCAGGCATAAAATGAAGTACTGTTGTCATATTTGCTCACTCCTCACTTTCATGTCTTCATAGTATCCAAAATGGTCTCCGCCTCCTTGTGGATGACAAATCTTTTTCAAACTACTACTCAAATCCTACTCTAATTTGGCTACTTACCATATTTGTAAGTAGGAGCAGCCCATTGTCAGGGTAGTAGGGAAGAGCAGGAAATTCGCTGATTTTTACCTTACAACAAGGTGAAACCCCATCGTGGTGCAGTTGTTAGTAAACTGGTCTCACTGGCCATTATTATTTGAAAATGATAAGAAAGGACTAACTATTAATTGCAAGAAGATAGAATATACTGGGACACAACAGGAGGCGAGAGGAACAGTCTAAGTTGCAAGGTATGAACTGGAAATGTCAAAATCAAGCAAGTACAGAAATTTAAATATCTAGGAAGTGTTTTAACAGAAAACGGAAAATATGACACCGAATTCCGAAGGTGCATTGTAATAGCTAATAATGCCTTCGAAAAGCTAAGCAGAGTATTAAGAAACAGAAAAGTTTCCTTAAAAAGAAAAGAGCGCTGAGCTGCTGTTAACTATCAATTCTCCTGTACGGCAGTTTCTGAATAGATGAAGAGGAGACCGAGCAACAGATATGTGGTTCTACGCAAGAATACTGAGAATAACATGGGATGGCGCATGCCAGCAACAGGGAAGTTTTAAGGAAAATGAAAACTAAAAGGGGGCTTATACCTGTAATCAGAAAGAATCAATTCCTTGGAAACATGAGGAGGAAAGGTGACTTAGAGAATATGACACTGACATACTGAAGGCAAGATGGACAAGAGAAAACAGTGAGCCACTTTAAAAATAAAACTTGTGCAAATTGATAGCAAAGTAATAGCAGGAATGGAAGGAATAGTAACAAAAACCAATACAAATAAACTGGATATGAAGTTGTAGAAAACCATAATCGTTCACGTCCTGGCGTTAATAAGCTTTGCATAGTCAGGCACAAGGCTACAAGTCTGGGACACCATAGGAGGCAAACCTCACTCCTTTCGTTGGTTTCCAAACTTCATGAATTTAAGCATTCAACTAGGCTGGCATCTCGCTCTCACTCTTTCATTGTCGAAACTGTTAAATGTAGCCGTCTCTTCTACTCCAATAGCTTCATGTCTCGCACCTCTCTCCTGTGGAACTCCTTCCCCTTTTCTTGTTTCCCTGATAGCTATAATCTCCAACAATTCAAATGTAATGTCAGTCGACGTCACCAAATGCCTTGATCTATCCTCTATCCTTCTCTTCATCCTTTTCTCCATCACTCCTCTTCGCTCTCGCTCCAACTCTCTGTAACCCTTTACGTGCTAGTGGCTTCCCGCCTTGCTTGGGGTGAAACGCTTAAAAAAATCAGTAATAGACTGTAATACTAACTGACTAACCACTGCTCCACAGTAAATATTCCCAAAGTTTAGTTTAGCTTTGCACAATGTCAAAGCAATAAGACATTCAGTGAGGATCGAATCCGTGATACGAACGAAATCGCCTGCAAGACTAACAAGCTAACTACTGCGTTACGCTAGGCAAACGGGATTTCAATTGTCATTTTCAATTGTATTTCGTCATGGGATTAGAATATGTAAAGGTAAAGGTAGGTGGGGCCACTGTCACTTGACGTAATATAAAAACCCGAACCTATGTGCTCTGAGATCTGGTAAATTATCAGAGTTCGAATGGAGCATGATCGTCGGTGCCTGATTCCATTTCTTAGATTGAAGGGACAATTGAGAGCCCTCGATGTATGTATGTCACGCATATACCGTAAATACTTAATAGAAGAAACTACTGAACAGCAGATACTTAATAATCGTCTGTCTTGAATTGTCTGTAATAACAAACATACGACACTGGCTCAACATATTCACCAAAGGAATTACCTGCAGCGTTCTTTAGCTTTCATGGAATATGGGATAAGATTGTGCACTATTTACATTATTCGGACTATTGTCCTCATCTTTGTCGCCATGTTTATCACAACGTTTCGGTTGTTCTATGCTCCGGCCTTCTTCAGGTAGTTGGAATGTCGAACTGAACCATTTACTGAACCCCATGCTCACTGGGGTAGATTGTTCTAGTTCCACGTGCCATGTCTAACGGATGTCAGTTATCTCCTGTTAATTCCCCTCTGAAGTTCTTCACTGCCCTAACCAGGTATTGAACTCACATTCTTGTTACTGAATCTAACTAACGCCTTTATCGACTGTGCCATGTGTCCTTGAGGACATCTGCGCATGAATTTCTGGATATTATAAACCTAATGTCTCCATTTTTACCAGAGCTCATATTGCAATGTTTGTTGTTGTTATTATTGCTTTTCTCTGGCACTCCTTATTACTGGTTCCCATATTGTATTCATTTCTATGCTTGGTCGGCCCAGGAGGTTTCTGTGGCCTAGCATATGTGCTGATTCTTTAAGTTTACGAATTTTCCAATGATGTTCTTTGTCTATGATCTCAACTTGATCCCACAGACGGCGGTGATCTCCCTTTTCTCTCCATATGTGGTCAGCTAGCAGAATCAGGCACAGTGACATCGGGCCTGTATTGTCCAGAATTAGCTTCAGATGCATTCTGGAGACTTCTGAAGAATTATTTTGCCAATATTTATGGGGCGTGGTATGGCATCCACACACACAAGATCCTCTCAGAGAATTGAAAACAACAATCAGTACTTCCTAACTCATCATCTCTGCATAGGTCTTCTAATCAATTGTGGAATCGATTGTGTACATTTCTCACGTCAACGTAATATAGTTTCAGTTTACTAAAACGGCTGAACTTTCCAACTGGTGTGAGTGATGGCGGTTCGAGTCCAAGCTCTTTTGATTGTATGACTGGAGTACTAGAATCTTCATATTGCTATAGCTCCTGATCAAATTAGCTAAACTTAAGTAAATATCTAATATTGAATCTACTAACATTTGTATTTCACTTATTGGATGAGATATTGTCTTGGGGATGACGAAAGAGGTAACAGGTGTGGAATATTGTGTAGAAAGAACAAGCACACTTAGTCGGAATAAATATCAGGTTCATTTTCTTAGCATCTACTAGGGTTAGCTTAGTATGGCTGAGGTAGAGTTTATAGAAGGAATCAGAGAATACGGTGTTCGAATCCAAATAGGGAGGCCTTGTTTGCCTTGAAAATCAAGATTCGGATTCATTGGCATGTATTTGCGCTTGAACACCTACCTACCTATATGATAATATAAAGAACAGATAAGAAATGTTTATCAATTTAACATGTTTCACTTTTATTAAAGCTTCATCAGGCAATGTGAGATCGAGAAAGGGTATTCTGGTATTTTTACTTTTGTGTCGTAGCATGATTTTCATAAAATTCAGGTAGCATCCGAGACGAAAAAATATAATGCGAATTGAAATATTTTTTTTTTTTTAATTTTACTAAAAAATAAAATAATTTCCATGACTGATGATGACCGGACGTACAGTCCAAAGTACTTGCATATTTAAGGAAGACCTAATACAGTTTTAAAACAAACAAAAACAAAAAAAAACAAGGATCATAACATTAATCGAGTGATTTGTAGGTTAATGCACCTTTAAAATTTAGTTAGCGAAGGGACTTCGCCATTTTATATCATTAACTTTACTAATTTACTTTTTGTATGAATAATTCATTGTAATATATATATATATATATATATATATATATATATATATATATAGAGAGAGAGAGAGAGAGAGAGAGAGAGAGAGATAGATAGAAAGACAAACAGAGAGGTAGAGAGAAACAGAATGTCACACATAGAGAATGAGTAACACGCACGTGAAGAGCGAAAAAGAAAGAGAGAAAGAGAAAGAAACAAGAAAAGGACACGCACAGAAGAGAGAGAGAGAGAGAGAGAGAGAGAGAGAGAGAGAGAAGGACAAAGGCACAGAGGAAGTGAGATTCGTTATAGAGAGAGAAAATGAGAAAGATAGCAGGTATAGCAACAAATTAGAACAAACTAAAATAGAAAAACGGAATGGGAGTGTATGTGTGAAAGCGAAAGAATAGGAAAACCGTAGCCCGGCAAAGTAGAGATAGAGGACGAGAAAAGACGTATAGAGTAGGAGAGAGCTGAGGAGAAAACGCTGATGAAACAAGAAAAAAAAAACAACGGGAAGAAAAATAGAGAGGACGATAAAGAGAAATTAAATGCAGACGACATCTGACTGCTGAATACAAATTACATTATAGCAAAACTGCGTATCGCGACCAATTTGATGAATAGGTCGATTCCTATAAGCCCAAACATGTTTGATTCGTACGAAGTGAGCATAACCGAATCTCGGCTCATTAAGATATCTATTACCTGTGAATTTAACAAAGCGATAAATAAAAATCCTCTGGCCTTACAAACAAGCAATCGTTATTACTTTTGGCAGCTCCACGATTTTTATTAATTTTCTGCTAGATTCACCTTCACACGTTGACTGCCATGTCACCATAAATTGGTGACATGGCATTTCAGTTTACGCCATATCTCCAGATACTGGTGACAGTTATACAGCGGGTTCGACTTACGACAGAATTCTGTTCCTACGATGCGTCGTAACGCGATTTTCCGTGTCAGTCGGAACGTATCCACAGTTTTCCGTAAATAAGAACTTACGTCACACTATACTAACGCAATAGTAATAATCTATGACAAATGTTAACATAATTAGGACACCTTACAGCCATTACACGTGGAAACATTCCTGTATGATCATCGTAGTTAAGCAACATCGAGCTTGATTAGTACCTAGAAGGGTGACCGCTTGGGAATACCAGGTACTGGAAGCTTACATGCGCGGATGGTGTAATGGATAATGGCCCGGAATTGTTGATCGGAGAGCGGAGTTTCAATTCCAATTGGGTTCGTTATATTCATTTACAATCAAATACCCCTAGGGAAATATATATGCATTAGTCAGAAGCAACAATCTAATATGGCGTACAACCAACGAACTGCCCCACATCATCTTCCTTACTCTAGCGCCGTATGACGACGTATTCTTCCATCGAGCCGCTTGCGTCGTATGTACGGCAGTCGAAACAAGATTAATGGATATTGCGTCGTAACCATGAATCGTCGTAGGTCGGGACTGTCGTAACTCGGAGACTTACTGTATTGCTTCGTCAAGTGTTCGAGACACTCTAGGCATATTTCTACGTAAATCAATGTCTATGGCTTCCTGTAAAATTTTGGGAAAATGGATATGAATATATTTTCTAGTAAATGTAGTATTTCAAATCGACAAACAATTTAGATTTCAAATTTGATCATTCACCGTCAGCGATGAAATGGAATATAATGGAAATTATAATATTAGCCACTTCCCTAAAAGGAAACATTCGTTATTCACTGACCGACCAGCCAATACTGTTGTCGCTTGAAATTTATAACATTTTTTTCTTCTCAGGAAAACAGGTTTCTCAAGTCCAGTAGCTGTTATCGCTCTTTCCTGTATTAATGGTGCTTTCCTTCTTAAACATTTATTTGAAGTAGTGTGGAACGTCAAAATCTTGATTATACTATTATTATTTCTTCAAATTACATGAGCTATCCATTTTAGTTGTTACTGCTTTTGGTAGTCCTCAAATGATGCAGTTTCTGTTTTTTGATACCGTTCTTTGTAATTCTATAGAGCCAGTCGCCAAGGTTCAAAGAAAGATGATCTTTGCCAAGATCCTCAGGCTTTACTTGCTCAAAATCTTTTTTGCACCATTGACATTAGGAAACAGTTGCATACAACTGACAGTTTAGATATTTCTGAACGGTTTTGGCACCATGCATGACATTCATATGACAGTCTCGATATTTTTTAAAGCATTTCACCCCAAGCAAGGCGGAAGTGCCACTAGCACGCAAGGTATTACAAGAGAGAGCAAGAGCAAAGAGGCGTGATAGTGAAAAGGATGAAGAGAAGGGCGGGAAATAGATCAAAGCATCTGGAGATGTCGAATGACATTGCATTTGAATGGCTGGAGATTATAGCTATCAGGGAATCAAGTAAGAAGAAAGAAGTTCCACGGGTGGGAAGTGCGAGACATGAAGCTATTGGAGTAGAAGAGACGGCTATATTTATCCGTTTCGAAAGCGAAGAGGTGGGACTGAGATGCCAACCTAGTAACACGCTTAGATTCATGCAGTTTGGGAACCAGCGAAAATAGCTCGTCGGAGCAGTTACCATGAAAGTATTTGTAGAAAAGACAGAAGGAAGCGACGGCACATCTGTAAGAGAGTGACTGTAAACGAGATGCTAGATCAGGGCCAAACACATTGCATATCCGTCTCTGGATGTTATCGAGGACCTTAAGACGAATAGCGGAGTTTCCAGACCATGATGAAGCTATTTAAGAACATGACTCTAATTTTCAGGTCGATGTTTTGACTTATTAGAAACTTACGGTATTGGACTAAATTATGATTCTATGTTCAATTTCTTTTTCTCATATACATAATCTGTTATAAAACAATGGGTATAATAATAAGAAGAAAAAAGATAAAGAAACATAGAAAAAATAAACAAATAAAGATTTACACAAAGATTACACATAGAAAAAATAAAACCCGGGATATTATTACGTAATGATCCTTTTGCTGTAAACGCATCCACTTTAGATGAAACTCAATGAATACTATTTTTTCTCGTCAGAAAGTGTCAGGAATACAAAACAAGATAGGAAGAAATACAGTCGGATAGCAATCAGTCATCTGTTGCTGACAGTAAACATATTTCGTAAGTACTAAAAAGCATGGCAGAAAATGATTGAGCAAAAAATTACAAATAAAATTACAGCATCTCCTCACTTAACGACTAGATTCTGTTCCAACGGTCTGGTCGCTAAATAAACTGGTCGCTAAGTGAGAGAACAACGTTATTTCCGGCATTTGGACACTAATTAGAAATCTGATGCCGAGAGTAAATATATTTTGTAAATAGTAAAGACATAACAGAAAATGAATGAGCAAAATTTACAGATAAAATTACATATTATCCTCGCTTAACGTCTAGGTTCTAGTTCAACGGACTGGTCGCTAAATAAACTGGTCGCTAAGTGAGAGAACACCGCTATTTCTAGCATTTGAACATTAATTAGAAATTGATGCTTTCAATAAATATATTTTGTAAGTAGTAAAAAGCATAGCAGAAAATGAATGAGCAAAATATACAGATAAAATTACATATTCTTCTCACTTAACGACCAGGATCCGTTCTAACGGACTGGTCACTAAACAAACTGGTCGCTAAGTGAGAGAAAAAAAAGCTATTTCAGGCATTTGGATAGTAATTAGAAATCAGATGCCGATAGTAAATATATTTGTTATGTAGTAAAACATGACAAAAAATGAATGAGTAAAAATTACAAATAATCCTCATTTGACGACCAGGTTAATTTGCAACGACCTGGTCGCTAAACAAACTCGTCGCTAAATGAGAGAACACCGCAAGTTCAGGGATACTACGCTGGTAATAGATTCGTGTCAACTATCTTCGCATAATTGTAATGTCATTTTCTAACCATTTGTTACATTTCTGAATATTTATATAATGTACTGAACAGTAAACAGAATGCACAAATTGAAAAACACACATATATATATATATATATATATATATATATATATATATATATATATATATATATATATATAAAGACATTTTATGTTATACATTCTTTTATAGATACAAATATTTAAGTAAATGCTCTGTTTATAATACACAGTATTAAACAACATTTACCGGCCTGAATGTCCGAGAAATTTTCACAGAAAATATTAGTTCTCCGACAGGATTCAAACCTGTATCCTATACGGAACCGTCATTTAGCTTGACGTGCTTTTACCGATTTGGCCACAGAGGAGCGTTCGGTTAGCAAGGTCGAATTTACTGTATTTAAACTTCAATCTTCTATGAATCTCTCACGTTCATTCATATCTGCTCATGGCGTATCAAATGTAAACAAATGACGTCACACACACACATATATATATCTTTTTTTTTATAAATAATTAATTTATAGTCAGTTACTACTGAATCTCTATAATTTCTTGTTATATATATATATATATCTGTACATTAGTTTACCTTTGTGTAAATCTTTATTTGTTTATTCATTTTTCACTTTATTCACTTTATTTTGATTCATTTTGATGAAAGAGAATATAAAATAGGATAAAAGTTTTCGTACAATATACTAGTTATATATTTTTTTTATTTTACGAGACTTTTATATTTAGTCGTAAGTCTGGGCATAGCTAAAGAGATAAGTCGTTAAGTGAAGAGTAGTTGCTCACTTTATCTTCGAAACAATTATACTCTCCACTCCAATTCTGTAACGACTAGAATAGATGGTAATTCCAAGAGCATTTCTTCTTCTTCTATGTTCTGTGTTTCTCCAGGACAATGGTGACCATGGCCCTTTGTATCTCATAATAAAGATTGTCTTTTTACTATCTATCCTAATTTCTGTTTTGCCAACCATTTACACAGGCTCCTTTTTGATGTTGTTGTTATTCTTCTTATCATTATTCTATATGCTGTTTTTTATCATGTCGTGAGCGAACATGGCTCTCCACAATTTCCTGTCCTTTGTATCGCGTAGTAATTTTTTTCTTTTTGCTATCTCTCCTAGTCCTTGTTTTTCCAACGATTTACTCAAGCTCGCTAGGTAAGTTAAGCGTAGTTTTCCTTTGTTCCGCTTGCCTTCAAGATACCACGTGACTGTCAAATTTTCTAAACTCTCTTTCCTCATTATGTGAAATGTCAACTGTATAAGTGTCCTTTTTGTTTTCATTTACTCGAAAACATCGTCGTTGCTAACATGTTCAGACCATGGTATTCTCAGCATCCTTCTGTAGATCGCACATTTTTCTTGTCTCATATCTTTTCTTCGTCTCTAACGAGATTGTCTAGCATTCCCTGCCATATATGAGGACTGAAAATAAAAATCCAATACTTTTTCTTTGTTTATAACGAAATCTTCCTGTTTCTTAATACTTTGCTTAGTTTTTGGATGACACCTTTCGCTATTCAAACGCGCCTTCGGATTTCAGTGTCAAATTTTCTGTCCGATAGTAAATCACTTCCTAGATATTTAAACTTTTGTACTTGCTGAAAAGTGATATCTCCAATTTGTAATTTGCATGTTGTACTGCCCCTTTTGCTGACAACCATACATTCTCTTCTCTTGCAATTGATGTTTAGTCCTTTCTCCTTGCTTCTGTAGAAGTTCATGTAGTTTTCTTTCTGTGCCTGCTCTCAACACAGTGTCATCTGCATATCTTATGTTGTTAAGATGGTGGAAGCTGATAATGAATCCAGGATTGCTTCACTGTAAAGTTTGAATAAGTCTGCTGAGAAGATATATCCTTTCTATTTTTATGTATTCATGGATTCATTTTTTTATGCATATGCAGGCGATTTGCCCATAGTAAAATTTCTGGATAATTCTAATGTTACTCATTAGAATTATTAATTAATTATTAATAAATCAAGCTTACCTATCAGTTCAAACATTTCTTTACGACGTACTTTATAAAACGCCTTGCATAACCTATAAAACATATCTAATTGGAATCAATCTTTTTTTTTCCGAAATCACCTATTTCATTTTCTGGAAGGAGATTGCAATAAAGGAATAATTTCCAACACCATCAGATTCTTTGAATGAAGATTAGTTTCAGTACAACTAGTGGTCGTTTAATTCTTTGTTCAGGATCTTTTGAAAATTCATGTTATTGAAAAGTAACCATTTTTCATCGTCAATCAGAATCTGTTTACTAAGTTTTTTCT